AACATTTATATCTACAAGTCTAAAACGAGAAGAAACAAATGCATGCAAAATTCTTTTGTAGAAATTCATTAAGGATCTATTCAATAATTTGGTCAATTAGCCACACTGCTTTCCTAAACTGCCGATAAAACAAGGGCCAAAAGCCACTTTAACATTCAGTTTCGGTGGACGGATTTTCTTGCCTAGCTTTCTGTTCTTCTGTTGCACTGCCACATGCTACCACTAAGTTAGACACACTGCTGGCATGTCCTGGTCTATTTAATTTGTCCTTTACAGACTTGGCTTTCCGAGAATGGCTGTGCAAACTCTTTGACCGTACTGATGGGAACCCAGAAGTCCTGTCTGGCTTTACTGATAGTAAGTTCTCTGTCTCAGTCTTGACAGTGGCAGGTGTAGAGGTTTTAGAGGCACTAATACCTGCTTCACCCACATCACTGTCATCATCTGTGTCCATTTGTAACTGCTTCTGCTCTGCTTGCCTTTCTGCTTCAGAGATAAAACCAGGGTATTCTGGAGGACGTTCCTGAGAAAGTTGCTGCTCAACTTCGTATTTCCACTCCATGGCCCACTGTTCAACTGTAGAAGGGCACACCTGATCCACGATGGTACTATACTCAGTGGTCCAGTTGTTAACTCCTCCAACCAGCTTCCCGCCCTGTGCAAATATAAAGCTCCTTGACTTCATCATAGTGGTTTGACAAGCACCGAAAGTTTCAGGAGGATAATAGCGCAGCGCTTTAGATTTGTCCAAGGGATAAGAGATGGTTGCTTCTAACTTGGTCCGTTCTAATTTTAACTGAGTGTTCTGATAATCCGATCTTGGTACTGACTGTCTGTTCATAACAACATCCATCTGGCTTATCCTTCGAGGAACCATTTCATCACTCTTGAAAATCCCCAGCTTTTCATCCCCCAAACCACCTGAACCAGAACGGGGTCTGGAAACATTCTGTGCAATTTCTAATGTAGATTTACTGTAATCTGCTGTGGTGACTGCATTAGCACTGGAGGTATAATAGAGACCGGTCTGATGTTCTGGAACCAGCATCTTTGGGTCTGCTCCATCTTCTTTTGTACCAACAGAGAGGGCTTTTTTACGCAATCCTATGGCTGGTGACAGAGGAGTGGTACTGTCATCATATGTTAACTCATCACCGCTGACATGGTATCTGTACGTGCTGTAGCCATCAGAGCTGTTAACACTGCTTTGTCTGAGGAGATATGCAGCATCACACTCAGAGGAAGCCCGTGAACGTGTATAGGTCAGCTCAGATTTGTCAATACCCGCCAGCTTCTCAAGAGCATTAACCATCCGACCAGATAGCTCTTCCAATTGAGAGAGTCGAAGGTCGACTGTCTGAAGAGAAGCTTTCATAAAATGTTCTCTTTCATTCACTTCTTCAAGCCTCATAGACATATTTTCAACTCTGTCGGATATAAAACAGGAAGCATTGAACAGAAACTGTGGAATGGTGCAGTAAACCGTAACGTGCCCCCAGCTACTAATTTCTTCTTAAGGCAGAAGTCTGTCCTATGTATCATTATGCATCATTAATTTTTCCTACGCATCAAAAGCATGTGCATTTTTTATCTATGCTTTCTTTATACCATATTAGAGGGCTATTTGAACTTTGTCTGTATTTACGTGCCCAGCACTGTACAAGAGTTGCAGCCCTTAGGGAAAACTTAGTATTATATTTCTCTCCAAGTGTGCCAACCACTTCACATTCCGTTGTCATCTTTTACTGTGAAGCATCAATTAATATGAAGAATACTGTCTAACAACACATTCACAGGACGACTTAAAATAGCATCAAGGCAGGTTGTAAAACAGGTTTTGTTGCTGTATGAGAGAATATACGCTGGCTGTTTATGGAATTCCTTTAGCTCTAGAAATACCTTTCAATTACGTATCAGAGCTGAAGGCAGTGGAATTAATGTCTAGTTCAATCAAAAAATATTTTTTTCCATTTTCTTTTATCATTTATATCATAATGGAAGTGACAGTACTAGAAGAATGCATGTAAAAGCCAGGCACCAGGATGTGACTAGAGATCATACACTATTAAATCAACTGTGGAAATTAAATTAACATTCTTTTGCTCTCACACACAAAAGATGATGAAGCATTTGGAACAAGAAGCCATGAGAAATACGCAAATCTGCTTTGTGGCCACGGACCATAGTGAATCAGTGAGGCTTACCAGCCCTGCTTTATTCACTGCCACAATACCTAGGATTTTGACAAATTGCCATGGATAAATAGATCAATAGAAATGACTCACATACACACAGAAGATTTCATTTACTTCTCTATTCTCAGACTTCACATGTAATATTGCAAGATGTTCAGTGCCTCCCTTCAACAGAAAGATGTTTATGCAATGGAAGGAACTTTACGACTGATAGAGCTACTTTATGAGAAACGGTAAAAGGAAGAGAGCTATATTGGGAATGGTTCACCGTTAAAATATTGTGAGGTGATTTAAGAAAGAGAGTATTTAAACCATGTATAATTTTCAGTACGAGGAGATTTCTTTCATCATTTAAAGGAAGTGATAAACGACTCTATCCTTTGAGTTAGAGCTACCACCAGAATGGACAGAGCCTTTGGGAAAGGTCCTGCTAAATGATTTAGTAAAAAAGTGCTGCTGCCGCTCTCACTGTGCGCTCACACAACAATACACAAACATTACCTGGCCTCAGAATAGCTTTTTGAATTACATGTGAATATTCTCTATCTTTCAGATGGGGAAGCTCCTGTAGGAAAGCTAAATGTCTTGTCCAAAGCTTCCAAGGCAATCTGTAGTAGAGATTCAAATTCAGAAGTTCCTGGTGCTGGACCCTAGTGCAAACCATTGGTACAAGTGAGTAGCGCTCAAGGCTTCTGTCATTTAGCTCCACCATGTTTATCATGGTCAGATGAGCTGTTGGAAGCTCAACAACTAGTAATTTGCTTAAACAGGTAAAAAGCATATCTGTGAGCTTCAGATAGCTGAGAGGGAAAAAATTTACTGCGAACAAAAATGTGCTTGTGATAAAGCCACCCAAACCAGAAACCAGCACCCTTAGTAAGATACCAGCAGCAACAACAAAAAGCTTGCTCTTGTGAGAGATGCACATGCACAGATACCTAACTAGGATTCAGATCAGCTTCTGAACGGGTGGTGGTGCTCTTCATGATCACAGATCTTTTGTACTTTAACTCAACTTTGATTTTAATGAGGACACAAAAAACAATATATTGCTCCAGTCACAATGTAGATAAGTTTTTTTTTTTTTCAGTGGGTACCTTTCGGAGGTAACTCTGATGCGTTCATCATTAGATGATTGCTGCTCATCCTCTTTTTCCTGGAAGTATTCTTCTACACATTGCTCTTCAAACTCATACAGTTTTTTTAGCTCTTCATCATTCAGAAATAATTCTGTATAAAACAGAAGAAAAAAAATATGAGTTTCCCTTTCCTGAACTTGTCAGTCAGTTTAGAGCCAATTTAGCAGATTATTTTGGACATGTGGATTGCAGATTCTATTCCTGCACTAAATGAACAAACTGTTTTGTAAATAGGGAATCAGCACTTAGCCAAAGATGACTACAGTCCTGAGGGCAACGTAATGCCTCAGATTTTATGACTATCCATTGGGGGTTATATTTGCTCTATGTTCTTTGCACATTTTGACAATAGAGTGCTACATATAGACCAAGTTGACCAGAACCATATGTATAGGTAATAGCTTTTAAAGGATAAAGAGTAGGCCAATCTCTGCCAGTCTGACTCTTCCTTAATTCAAATACTGTTCTTAAAAGGATGTTGGTTATAAGCAACAGGTAATCTAATATAGCAGATTGTTTCCCAGACAATCACAGAGTTGACACTACAGGTGACATCTGAAATTGCGATCCTGTCTTCTCAATTTCCTGTTTGCCCTTCCCACTGTGTGGATTTCAGTAGAATTTGGTAAATCTGGATTAAGTTGATGCCACTTCAGTAGGGAAATCTATTTAAGAAAGTCTGTTAAAGAAAGCATTCATTAGCAGTACAGCATCCCATATTCTCAGTTGGAGCCCAAGGAGCTCAGTAGCTGTTAGTTTGATACAAATATTGTCCCATACTGGCTTGTGCAAATACTGTACTGTCAAAGTGAACAAAAGGAATAGCTTAGCATTGGAAAAGCAGCTGCTTTGTGGTAATATGGCGCAAAGAGCTCAATTTAGAGAAGATTCCTCACATACTCAGTCCCCTGTCACGCTCATCCTGGTCTCCTTCACGCTTCTTGCAGCGACAACAGACCCTCTTGATGATTATGTAGAGGTGGCTGAAGATGATCATTGGTGGGGGGAGGACAGGTCTGTCATGGAAGGTCATGATCAGCTGGTACCGCTGGAACTTCCAGACTTGGTTGGATATTGATTTTACCTCAAAGAAGGTATTGCTGAAAGGGAACATAAGTACAGTTTCTATTAGGCATCTAAGTTCAATTGTCACAGAGTGAGTACACAATGAAATAGGAAGCTAAATAACAACATGAGGTCACTTGACTTTCTCAGCCCTTTGTTGATGCCGCTGAACTTGTGGGCTCTAACGGGATTAACAATTAACCTGAACTCGTGATTCTGCTACTCCTTTCAAGGGTGCCAAAGCAGAAGGTAGTGCTCTGCATCCCTTATGTACCACTTGCAACAGTTCTCCTCTTAGACTATTTGCTCCTACTGTATAAAGTCTGTTAGCAGTCAGTGGAAAGAAACTTACACAAATTATGGATCACATAATTAGTATTTTGGGGCTTGGTTATAAAGTAAGTATTTCTGCTAAAACGTGCCAGTATTTGATATTACACAAAGTATTAAATCCGTAAGAGGTTTTTTTGTATACTAAACCCAGAAGCTTCACATAGTTTTCCTTTAATATGCTAATCAGCTTGACCTACATAGAAGACTTCAAGCCTTCACAAAATGTCCTAAATTCAAACTTGATTCATTCAAACATCTGATTTCAGAACACAGTACACACTCTTGTAAAGGAAGCTGTTCTTGGAAGCCAGGGGTTCACCACTTCTACAGCAAAATGAGGTGTGGTATGATTACATTTTATTTTGCAATTCAGTGGATATGAAGGAGTAGAAAGTGGACAGTATTAAATCCAGATAACAATAGCCTGGGTTATAGAATATCAACTAAGAGAAAGTAAGTTTTGATGTTCTCTGTTTCAGATAAAGCTTTTCAAAGTATTTTAAAGTGTCCTTGGAGATACTGGCACTTCCTCTTTTATACTTTCTACCCACTTGCTCTGCTTTAAAATACCTACATTTACAAAACCAGTTAAAATATATCTTCAAAGCCAGAGAATGTTGAGTACAAATGCTTTTTGGTTTCTTTTAGCTAGGAATAGTTTATTTATCACTGATAACAAGATAATCTGACTTCACTCTGTGTCTCTAGGAATAGCAGGAATTCCCCGACTAGATCTCAGCCTCTTGCAAGCATGCTAGGATGGCAGGAGTTAACAGCATGACCTACTTCCCAAACTGCTGATTCCTTGGACTCTTCAGCCAATAATAGCTACTATTGTAAGGTTCTTCTCCTTCCCCCTAGTTATGTGACTAGCATTTGAACACTCTGAAATTCATGACCTTTTAAGCTACATATATCAAATGAAAGATAGGCTTTGTGAGCTGTAGATTTCTGGGCACAAGATGAAATAAGTATATTTCTGGTTGTGATGCCAGTTACTTATGCCAGGAAGCCCTCCCACACTGCATGTTTATAGACAAAATGCAATCACTTGTTTCCTGGTTCTTTTCTCAGGTGGTGTGCAGGGGAAATCCTACTGGCAACTAGGTATTTCTATTTTTTTTATTGCAAAGTCATGATAGGAAAAGCATGCAGGATAACTGTGGGCAGAAGGTACGTACAGCTGTGGGCAGAAAATACATTTCAGTTTTACTCTGGGGAATTCTAAATATGGATCTGTGGAATAATATTAAGAATATGTACAGTGCACATTGCTTGGGCCAGCCATACACCTAGCCATGGATCTTGGCAATGTGTAGCTGTCCTTTCTCTTGGCTCAAGGCACTATAAGCTCTTTTTCTGGGAGCTATTAGAACCCTGCAGAGCCCTAATTTCTTTTTTTAAATTAAAAGCAAAGCAAAAAAAAAAAAAAAAAGGGAAGGGGGCAGAGGATGCAGTGATAGTGGAAAAGCCTCATGCTTTTCACGCTCAGATTTTTATTCCGCAGATCCATGCTACTGTCCTTTAATAATGTTTGTTAGTAGTTACGCAGGTTTCCATCATGTATGTAGAAGGTTTCATGTATTCAGTTTTCCTGTTTTCAGAACGATCTTGCAGCCTGTCATAATCAATTAAATGGCAATCAGAACTAGCCAGATTCTCTTGTATGCATCACTACAATTACTGGTAAATTTATACCAAGGTTTATTCCATTCTTTCCCAGCATATAAACTATTCCAAATATTTGGCAGTCATGTTCACAGAATAATTAGATTTAGAATGTGAACACAAAACCTTGCAAAATCAGCTGATGGGCTCTCAGTAAGAAAGTAAAGACAGTGCATGATCATTTACTTACTTGAATACAGCAATCAGCAGGTTTACCAGCAGGATGTTTGCTACCAAGAGGTAACAGGCCATAATAGCAGGAGTGAGCCAGGCCCCTGGTATGCATGGAGGCAGACGTTTACCATCCTCATCATAAAGATTGTCACCACAAGGAGCTGAAGAGAAAACAGGAAAGGTACTATTCACAAATTGCCCCACATTTAAGAACACTGTTCACTTTATTTAATGATGACATGCATAAATTTTGCTAAACTAGACAAATTTTGTTAGTTTATTTCCAGTAGCAAGTACATATAATTTCTAGTCCAAATACTGCTTCTAACTAGACAATGCAAAAATAATTTCCCATAATACTGAACAAAGCAGCAGCTCCAAGTTTACTGTACAGTGTGACTTCCTCCTCAAATTCATACAGATTTTCTTTTCCTCATAGTAATAGTCTAAAAGATCTTCATGTGCATGAAATGATGCTAATAATGGAATTTAAAAAAAAAAATCTCAAGCCAAACTTATTTGCATACCTTGCCAAAGATACAGAAGGACTTACACAGTGGCCCCAGATTACTTTTGGTGTTTGACTGAGCATAAAATCAGTGCACTAATAGGCCCATAATGGCCCTAACCATGGTCACCTGGGGTCTCCATCCACACCCTCTGCCCATGCCTGTCCCTGCCTGAGCTCTGCCACAGCAAGGCCAGGCTGAGCCCTGGTTCTGGCCCTGCCTCCTGGATGGACTTAGGCTACAGGCAGCTCGTCTCCTGGCAGGATGCCTCTCCAGTCTGGGGCCCAGTCTCCTTTTGCTCCTGGCTGTACCTGGGACCACAGCTTGCCTTGTCTGGGGACATCAGTGGACCCTGCTCTGCCCACTGTGTTCAGGCCCCGCGGGACTGTGCCCTCGGGGGAGGACACTGCCTGCGCGGAGTTGCCCTCAGCTCCCCTTCCCTGTGGGACCAGCCTTGCTCTTGCTGCTCCCTGCCAGCCTATGGGTCCAGTACTCAGCAAAACTTGCTTGGATATGCAAGTATGGCTAGGTATACAGAAGTGGTTGATGTTTATATTTTTCTTCTGAAAAAAACACATATTTTAATAAACCTATTCTTTTTTTCTTGCTAAAAGTTGAGTTCTTTTCAACATACTTAATTTGTTACTGAATAGAAAACCCCAATTTCTGATCTTCTTTGTACACCAATTTCTGTTCCTCTTAGTTTTCACAATAATTCTACATTTTAGATAAAATATTAAATGAAAAGATAAAACTACATAACGAAAAAAGATACAATTACTGCAAAATAGACTGGTGAGAATGAGACAAAAATTGAAAATATTGATTGAACTGATATCAAATAATTCCCTGAACTAATCCTGAGAACCCACAGGTTGTCTTGGAGTTGAGTAAATGCAACAAGTTTGTTTTGCTTTAAGTGCAGTGCCAAAATAACTGATTTGAAATGCATAGCTAAATTTTGGAACCATTTAGTGTCAGGTAAAAATGTGTATCAACAAGAGTTTCTTCAGTTGAAAACCCTTAATAAATACTAAATCTGGCAATGAGTTTTTTACAGATGTAATTTATGCGGATAGATAAAGCCTTTTTTTTAAACTAATTTCTCAAAAATCCCCTCGACCTCACCTGAAAAAGAGCTTAAACTGTTTGAAAGTATGTTAATTTTATATGATCTGGAATTAAATGGATATTTAAATAACAATTAATAATAATATATTTTACTTGCTTTTTGAACATCAGGCCTACATTCTTCCTGTTTATCATAAGGAAAGTATAACAGGGAAGTCAAGTGAATCGTATTATTCACATGGATCAATGAAAGTACTGCTAAAGAAACACTAACAATATTTAGATAATCAAAGGGGATTATTCTTATCATGACATGCATGCAGCATAATTAAAAAAAAGGATCATTTTAGTGGCAATGTACTAGAAACAAGTCATAGCAACCGCATAAGCTTTACTAAAACTTCTGATCTGCAATCTGTATTAAAGCAAACTATTTTTCGTGTTTCTCTTCAAATGAAACTATTTCCGTAGAGAAACAAGAGTCACACCTGAATACTGGATGAGCCCTATAATTAAAATGTCAGTATCTAATGAAGAAAAAGATTAATGAACATATTTAGCTAAATGATATAGTCAGCTCCCCACAGAGACTTACGATTAATTTCCATGGCATAGACTGAACAGCATTCCAAAGGAAAGACAAAAAAGGAGGCAGGGAGAGAAGGAAAGAAAACAATAGAATAATATGGAAAAAAGAAAACAGATGATTGAAAATATAGTTTTGCCACCAAGAAAAGATAAGCAACTCAAATGTCAGAACAGCAGAGACATATGCTCAGAAGAAAGTCCTTGTTAGAACTGTACTACGTTCTGCAATTTCCTTTTCATGTTGTCTTCCCCAAATGTTACATATGGTAGCAAATTCATGACATTAAAAATAAATCACAAAATGCTGCTGGCAGATGATCATTTAAATATACAAGATATTGCAGGCAAGTAAACAAAACTGATGGTCACCACAAACACAAAACAATCAAAGTTATCACACACAATCATCACAGTTCTTCTAGCTGTTAGTGAAATGCATATCTTTTTTTTTTTTTTTTTTTTTTAAAAAACGAGCCTGGAATTGTGTCTGCCAGCTGTCTCCACTGAACAGCTACATTTCCATTAATAATTGTGACATTGATGTTGTTATAGTTTATAATATCATTAAAGGCCATTTGACTAGCCGTAGGACTACTTGCTTGCCAGTCTCTAAAAGGTGGCTTTAAGAAGAATCATACTATTGAGAGAAGCTCAGCCTCTCTAATTCTCTAATGTTTAAGAACGTGCTGCTGATGGACACTAGATGCCACTAATTTATCGCTCACAGGTATCTTCTAAATTAGAGTGAACAAGAATGAAGATCCTCCTGGGCTGCACTGGGAAGAGCATTGCCAGCAGGTCGAGGGAGGTGATCCTTCCTCTCTGTTCAACCCTGGTGAAGCCACATCTGGAGTGCTGTGTCCAGGTCTGGGCTCCTCAGTACAAGAGATTTACTGAAGCAAGCCCAGCAAAGGGCCATGAAGATGATGAAGGGACTAGAGCATGTGACTTATGAGGACAGGCTGAGAGAGTTGGGACTGTTTAGCCTAGAGATGAGAAGGTGGCTCAGGGCAGGGGGATCTTATTCATGTGTATAAATATCTGAAGGGAGCATGTGAAGAAGATGGAGCCAGACTCTCTTCAGTGGTATCCAGTGAAAGGGCAAGAGAGAATGGGCACAGATGGAAACACAGGAAATTCCATTCAAACAGTAGAAAAAAAAACCTTTTACTGTGAGGGTGGTCAAACACTGGGAACAGGTCATCCAGAGAGGTTGTGGAGTCTCCATCCTTGGAGATATTCATACCCGGCTGGACAGGTTCTGAGCAACCTGCTCTAATTTACCCTGCTTTGAGCAGGGCGGGGTTGGACTAGAGGATCCCCAGAGGTGCTTTCCATCCTCAGGGGTTCTGTGATCTGTGGTCTTTATCTTTAGGTGAAATCCTGTCCTCAGTGAAGCCAATGGCAAAAGTCCACTAATTTCAGTCAGATGAAAAATTTGATATAATACTTTTTCCATAAATTGTTTATACTCATGGGCCTTGGCAAAACTACCCACAAGCATTTTTCACAGAGTCTGCTCATGATGATCACTCCTCGATGACTACTAAGATTGCTTTTGTGGTGTGTTTACAGAGAACCATGGAAAGATCAGAATGAAAACTTGTTACTGAAAGCAAAAAGATTTTTAGAAATCAGTCTGTGGGCTTGTAAACAAAAGACACTTATGGAATAACTGTAACACAGTCTAGTTATAATAGTAGAACTCCTTGCACAGATGTTTTAGTCCAAGTTAACTTATGCTTAGGCTAGTGCCAGAGCAAAGCTTCTAACCTGGGACAGTTAGTACAGTAAGTAGCTGAACTGGACTGGTGTAACTGGAAAAGCCCTCTCTAACTTTTTTTTGAAAGTCTAGGGCTTGCCAAAAATCTTTCACATTACCGAGGAAAGATTTCTAATTCATAGGAGTGAATTGTATATACCTGAGAAATGACTGAAAACTTGAGAGGTGTCTGGGATACTACTTACAATAAAGAGATCAGTAGTGTTGGCAAGGTGTGAGTTTTGATTGATAGAGAAATCCAGGTGTACACAATGGCAAACATTCTTTGCTCAAGTGGGATTCACAGTGTATTGTGAGACACACAGATGAAGAATATCCTGTTTCAGTCATTTCCTCCTCATGTGGGAATTAAACCATTTGAGAGATGCTAAGCTTTGCTTGGCTCACCTGTCAGGTAAGTGACACGCTTACCTTAGTATTTGTCAAGAGTAGTTTAACATATTGTAAGTAACATTATGAAACAAGCATTCAAAAGGAAAAGGAAGAAGACAGGATCACTGCAACAGTGTAGCTTCAGGAACAGACTCATGACATTTCCTTCTTTCCTAAGCAAGAGGAAGCTTAATACAGGAAGCTTTAATGACAGCTTTAATTAAGGTTTCTCATGAGGATGACTCCCTGGTTTTTCACTGTACTTGGACCTTCCTTCTGCCTCCACTTTACTATTTCTCAGTATATGCATCTGGCTGAAATAACATATTCACAAAGCTGAAATAAGACTTTATATTGTTTCAGATAAAATGCAAACTGTGATACACACAAAAGGAGACCAGACGCATGCTTGACTGTGTGTACAGATTTCAAAAATTAACCCAGAACTACCAGTAACATGACAATGTCCATCTCCTCTACAACACTTTTTGTTAGTTTTTTTTTTTTAAACTGTGCAGCTTTCATATAAGAAATCTTATTTACAGTCCTAAAACTAATCAAGCAGAGTTTTCCTTTTTTGCTTTGTTTTTCCATAGATGTGGGAGATAAGAACCTAAGTGATTCATGGAACTGCAACATTTCTGGAAAGCAGGCAGATTTATCAATGGGGGTAAAAAGATATTAGCTCATTGCTTCTGCTGGGAGTTGGAGATGAAAGAATATGTATATTTTCATCTCTTGTAAAAGGCATTTATTTTTATTTTCTTCTGTTGGGACTGGCTATTAGTAAAACATTCATGCAAAAGGAGGTTTCAGAATGATCTCTGTTGAGTCCTGTAAATGAATGGAATATTTTATAGGCAATACTGTTATATTCTCAGATAGGAGAGTATTCTAGACTATATCGCTCTCAGCATTAGTTGAATTTCAACATACATGGACAGAAAGGATATGCAAATGGCAAACAGAAGTGTCTAGAGTCTGTCAAAAGAAAACTCTCAAGATAACAGCAAAAATGATGATAAAGACAAAACGCTCTACTTCCAGATTAAAAACAAACACTAATTTAGATCTGATCATCTGCCTCAGAAACAGGAAACAGAATCTTACTATGAATTCTATTCTTACGGTCTATCTGGTCTGCGAACACCTCTCCGTAGATCATCCAGTAGGGCATATAGAAGATGTTGCGAGCTAGTCTCCAAGAAGGCTCCTCATCTGGGTGCAGAATAGCTTGGCGAGCTACTCCGAAACTCATCAGAACCACAAGCATGATTACCACAAAGTAGAGCATGTCAATCATCTGCACAGAGGGACCATACAAAGAAAGGTTCTTGTCATCACCAGCTCGTACAGTAGCATCAGCATGTTTATTTGCCAGCATACATTAAAGTGAACAAGAAAGTATCAAGAGAACAAATATACCCCTCCAAATAATTTTCCTGGTATTATTCTTTGGCTTTAACTACTGGTCATGAATTGAATAGATATAAAAATAGAGGAAAGTATATCTTTTTAAGAAATACTAGATTTTATATTTAAAAAGACTTAAAACACTAAAAGCTTTGCTGTCCAGATTCTCTTCTTCATTATGTGCACTATGCTGTGCTTTCAGCAGCACAGTTCTTCTCTGGTCACAAAGAACTGACAAAAGCGTTGCTGTATCACCTCCTCACCACAACTGATGATTTTGTGGATGATCCTTGTGTCCTGGCAGTCCGTTATTGCTACAGCTTTGGGAGGCAGAAGGCAGACAAGGTGAACCAGCTATCACGGGGTTTCAAAAAAGAGTTTTGCTCTTGAATCAAGCAACTATTAGCAACTATTAGCAAGAGTATTACATCTGTGTGTGTAAAATTCACAAGGCAAAATTTTTAGTCCTATTTCACAGCCTTTATTCAGAGTCCTACTCAGAGGGAAGAAACCTTTAAGATTGTTTTTTTAAAATTAGAACTGAATTTAGTTTCCCATGTACCTCTGATATACATAATTGACAACTTGAGCACTAACCATCTTTCCAATCATCATGACGTAAGGTCCCAGATATTTGTTCACACCAAAGATATCTAGTACTCTAATGTACCAGAAAATGATATCTACACAGTAAATCACTCTTCCATAACTCATGTATGGCTGGTTCTGTAGGCGAAGAATTGCTCCTATCATAAATACTGAAATAGCCACCAGGTCAGTAATATTCCAGTATTCCTGTAGCCAAACTTTCACTTTTTGGCTCAGCTTGCCAGGCTCTGACATTAGAATCTGAAATAAAGAAGGAACAAGGAAATTGTTAGGAAAAACTCCAAGTCACATTTTTGAAATGACAGTCACGAGACAGGACCAATCTTGTCATATTCAACAGGTATCTGGGACACCCTGCCACAGGCAGCAAAATTGGTCTTAAGCAGCAATGTTTTTGGTTAATAACAGGCAACATTTTCTTTTCATTGCTATTTTTCTGTTGTAGGATTTAATCATTATTATTTAAATCAGAAGATCTAGCTTACTGATTTTGCACCTGCATTTACCTCCACATAAAGTTAGTATGAGATGTGTAGTCAGAAAGGAATTGTGAATCAGAGACGGAATAGGCCAAGTACAAACCAAACTGTAACATGCAAATATGGTGGAAGTTTTTATGCTATCTTCCCCATATAAAAGCACCGAGAGATTAGCTCCTGGCTATTCTGCCAAAACTGCCTGCAGCTCTCATCAAGGACAAGGCCTCAGTAGTGAACAATGGGATCAACGCAGCCAGTACGTACTGAGATTTACTCTATGGGTTATGGTCACGTCTTCCCTGGGAAATACACGTAAGAGAGTAACAGAAACTCTCTGTCATTCTGAATACTGTCCTCAGGGCGTTTTTGCCTGACCTTTTGCCCAACAAGAGAAGGTTTTAAGATTCAGGAATGGGTTATACATGAAACTCTCCAGTGATGGGCAGTTTGGGACTCTATGGCTAAGAGAATCTTCTGCATACGGCTTCTCAACCCTCTGCATAAGTCCATGTCATTATTACCTCTAAGGAAGAAGCGCTTTCCAAGGATTATGCTGGTATGATCAGACTTTACCTCTCTTACTTTCTCTAAAGCCAATGTCACAATGTAGGAAATGACAATCCATTCCTGGACTGATGGCCACCGTTCCATTGGCACCAAGATCATATAATTAAACAGCATCAAGTAACCCAGGTATGAGATCTACAACAACAACAAAAAATCCATTATGGACTTTAGATGACAGATCCTAGGATCCATCTGCAGCTAGGCAGTATTCAGTTACTTGAGATGACTACCACTTAAATTCTGGAACATCATTGTAAGTCAGCAGAGCAATAACTCAGTTTTCCACAGCTACGGGTGACTACTGGTGCGGATGTGCAGCTGCTGATGCTGCTGTCTCCATGCCTCACAGAAGTCATCGGTGACTGGCCAAACTCAAAACTTCAGAAAGCTCAGAAGTCCTGAGTTAGGAATCCAAAATGTATTCAATGGCTATCATTTGCAGGGGAAAAAAAAAAAAAAAAAAAAAAAGGTAAGCAAAACAGTAATAAAACAAAAATTTTTCCAGGAAGAAGACAGGGGTTTTTATAGAAACAAGAAGTGAGGTATTAAAGGTAAAGTGCTTACCTACCATCTCTAACAGATCTAAAGCAGAAAGAGAAGGTAGGGCTGTGAGCTTTCCAGAAATCAAA